GTCTCACCAATGTCTGGAGGGTTTTCAAGGTCAGGTCATAATCCTGAAAATCCAGTAGCCTCACACGGACAAAAGTGAGAAGGAGAGACAGCTTGATACAAGCACAAAACAGAAATCTGAATTGAAAATTAATCCCTTGCCAAATTTTGAAATTGTCCCGCTATTGATCTGGCTGCAGTTCTCAACCTCATGGTGATCACTTACTTTGACAATGTAATAATAAAGTGTAATGTAATTTGGAGAAAATTGGTTTTAGTCATAAACTGGAGACATCAGAGACTCTGTTCTAAAGGGGAAAAATGGTAATAATCTATTTGTCATTTTTTTCCAGAGAAAATGTGTTTACCTACAGTGTGTCAAATTTTAGCCTGCAGCAAAATGATTTATGAACAAATTCTAAGCTTCTTCACAGCTGACAAGTTAATTCTCACTGAAAAAAAGAAAGAGGAATTATGACAACACTGAAGAATGTTAACATGGTACATATTCTAATTGAATAAAAGACACCTTACAGAGCTACAGTGCAAACCCTTATTCATTTCAAAGCTACTTACAGGCTGAGAAGCTTCAAAAAAATTGGTATTACAAATACTGGAGTCAAATTTCTGTGAGTTGGGAAGCTTCTCCACTTCAGACCTTCAAAACTTAACTGTGAAATCTCATACAAACCGTTTTGTCTAGAAAATTTCTGGTACTCCTCAGATGACAAATAGTGTTTGGTTTTCAGGTGAAAAGTGGACGAAATGAGAAAAGAAGCAAATTGAGTAGCCGGAGTCACCCATCAAAAGGGGTTTTTGCCCCACAAAAGCGGGGAGGGAGGGGGGCATGAGAGAAATATGTAGGGGGTGTGAGTAGGAAATATCTTAATTTTTCCTCTTCTCAGGCTCACCTCTGTTTAGGAAAGGGGGAAAAACAGAAATAAGGGATTAAGCAGAGGGCTGGAGTCAAGTCAGATGAGTTCAACTGGTGGTTCTTTGTCTATCTTAGAAGATAACCCTGAAAGAAACAAACAGCTCTTCATTTCTGTACTGTGTCTGCCTCCTCTTTTCAAAAGCCCCACCAGCATTTATTCAAAAGTACTGCATACTTTGATGTCTAGAGATGAAAAGTGGTTTTTGAGGTAAGAAATCAGAGTTTAGTCCTAATCTAGAAGAATCAGTGGCTACTGATGATGAGTAATTTAATTCCATATGAGTAATTTTTGCCTCTTTATGGGTTTGTTTTATGAGACACTTATCAGGTCAAATGGTGCTGAGTAAATACATGAAGAGTATTTCTTGTGGATAAACTGAGTAAAAAATTACCTTTTCTTTTTTCCTCCCCCCACCTCCTCCCAGTTTACAATCATAAGGTTAGTAAAGAGCAGGAACCATTTTTCCCTGCTTGTAGTCAGATGCAATCCCAGCACTAAGTAAATTGAACACTTCACACCCGTTCACTAAAGTAAATTTATTCTGATTTATCTTACATACTTGTCAAAAGCTGTGCCAAGATGTATACACAAACCATTTTCTTGGATTGTTTCGAGCTAATCATATTAACGTATTTGCTTTATTGGCTTTGGGGGGTTTCCAAGTGGAAATGATTGAAGTAGGGTCCAAAAGCAGCTTTGTTTCATTGCCAGTTCTGGTGCTAATGTGTGCCTCATTGGACTTCTACTGTCCGTGTCAGTGGGCCTGAACTTCCATATCAGGAGGCTTTCAGTGGCAGCTCATCATCAGTTTATTTCTGCAAAATGCTGTGCTTAATAAGTCAATTATTTAGAATGTGAAGGAACAGGAAAACGTGACATTGAGTCTGCAAAAAGTGGTGCTCATCCACTGCAGTCAGAGGCGCTTGGGGAATTCACGCAGGCTGAAAAACAAGTTATCCACATAAATATATAGGAAATGCTGCATGCAGTGAAGCAACAAATTCAGCAGATCCCAGGGGAAGAAAAGATGGCATTAAAGATGGAAGAAGTCCACACCACAAACATCTACTTTATCAACACTCTGAAGAAGGGAAATGTTAACCTAGAGGGGTTGTCCGTCAAGGCAAAACTCACAGGTTTGTCCATGTGCAAAAGCTAAATGTACAGAGGATAAGCAAAAAACGCAAAAGTTACGGTGACAAAGATATCCTTTATTCTGCTGCTCAAACAATTTCCAGCCATTTGAAAATCTGGGCTATTGGGCTTCCTTGGACTATTCTGAGCCTTCCCGGAATCAGATTTGTTGCAATTTATGGAGTAGCAAGATCAAGCAGGCCAGGCTTACAGAGACCACGCTTTGGGATGGAATACATCACCTAAAAAACCCATTGGCTTATTGATGCAAGTCATGGCTTGTAGCAAACACAGTTTGGTGAAGTACTGAAGGTGCAATTCAAAGACAGAGTTAAGAAGAGCACAGATCTCTTGCTGGAACACTGCTGAGGGTGGGAAAAACAAACAAGACATCAGTACGAAGGCAGGCATCCATCTGCATAGACCAGAGACATTGAGCAATACTGCTACCAAGCTTTTCTATAAAATTTTTTGCTGTCAGATCTCCGGGTGTTTTGCAGAGGGTTTTGGTTATCATTAGCTCTGTTTCACAACTAGCGTAACTGTGGTCCCGTGCAGTGATGGTAGTCAGCCTAGATTGCCCCCAGACCAGCGGCAGGATCCAGAACACGGCTGTTCTGGCCCCAGACCAGCACTCGGAGCTGCTTATAACTCTTTTCCCTGTGGGAGCCTTTTTTTATATATTTTTATTTTGAGAGGTTGACAGATACCACCAATGTGTGCATCAAAAAGTGCTCATATCCTGGGAAACAAATAAAAACAAAACCACACATGGATGATTTTTATAGAAAAGGGTTTCAGCCAGCTCCATATCTGTGGCTCTGCATCCCTGCGCTCTGGTTCCTGATATCTTACAATGGAGAATGCTTCAGAGAAAGGCTTTTTGAACTGTATAAGCCACCAGCACATACACATATGCAAAATAATAACAATACTCTTAAAAGGGTGAATTCAGTGACCTGTCCTTCCCTTGTCATTCCCTTCATTTGTGTCTCCCCTCTTTCTGCACATCCATTTCCTATTCTTTTCTCACGGAGGTGACCGAGATTAAAGGTTTACCGTGGCTGATTATTCAGGAAAGTCCCACTTTCTAAATCTGCTTCTAATTAAAAAGGGGCGGGAGGGAAGGAAGGGAAAAAACCCTCCTTACTGTACACACAGGCAGCCTAATCCATCCTGCTGACTTTCATAGGCATGAGCTTCTATCGTAGTATTAATAAACTATTTTCCGAGATTTATGTTTCTTAACCCTCTTCACCCCAGAGATTTTTTCGGATGTGAGCTGTAGATGTCACTTCAAGAAAAGATGGGCATCTGACTTTAGCCTGGACATCAGTTTATTTATGAGGGAGGGGGCCAGGAGTTCAACCCTTGTGTTCGTAACAGGGCTAAGCAAACAGCTCCGACCCAGCTCTAAGCCATTCTAAATAGACGGAGGAGCTGGTAACCCAACTCCCGACCATTGCTGGAGTTCACGTTTAGGTTGTGATTTTACTCCATTCCCAAATGTCACTTTATCCCTGCTTTTCAGGAGCTTATTTTCAAGGATTTATGAAATGTGAGATGACAAACCTGGTGCAATAATGTTGTGGAGATTTTGCCCTTAACTCACCCTAGAAAATACTCTGCACGAATGGTGTGGAGGTAGCTTCCAAGAACAGTCTTATTTCCCCTAGGAAAAAGAAAATCTGAGCTGTGTGCCATTAAAATGAAAAACTCAAAGAGGGTGGGAGGGGACTGAGAAGGGCATTAATCAGAACTGGTAAAAAAAAAAAAAGGCAAGATTTCTCTTGCCTGGGAAGAGAAGACACAAAGATGAAAAAAGAAATGAACGTACAGGAGGACAGAATAGCTCTACCAGCATTTGCCTATAGGTTGCACAGCAGACAACTGCCTCCACACAATTTGCCTTTACCATAGAGACAAAAAAGTTCCCATTACTTCCTTTTTGTCTATATTATCATTATTACTATTTGTTCCTAATAATAGAGAACACCTGAACTGTATGTACAGATTCTCCCAGCCACAGGAAGAAAGGATACTAATGGCTTTTTTGTGCGAATACCACGAACTTCAGATCAGAGGTAAGTCAAAGGTATTACTCATCTCTACATAACTTTATTTTTAAGTGGTGTGAGTTGATTAAGCTTTTAGAAAAGAGATATCATATGAGAATGAAGCAGTTTCTCCCTCAAAATTCCCAGCTGCCCTCCCACAGTAGTTTCCCAATACGCTGCCCATTTTAATTTCTGCAGCATGACTTCTGTTTCCTGTGTTGCCAGTTGACCCAAAGCACAGGCCTCCAGAGAGAACAGAGGAGGTCCCCACATATGTGACTATTAACAGGAGAAAAATCAAAATCAAGGAAAGAGATGGAAGGGAAAAAATTTATTTTTCTTTTCCAAGGTAATATCTTATTTTCCCAGCTCATTTACAAGGGCAAATAACCCAAAATAAAGCGGAGTCATATGAGTTGCCAAATGTAATGAAATTGGGGAAATGACAAGGAAAAGCTGATGACAGCCACATTCCCAAGACAACCCCATCTCACAGATTCTCGATGTTTTCCATCAAGGCAGATATGTAACATCCATCAGTGCTGCCCATCTGCAGGAAATCTCCTGCAATGCACTGAACACCGGTGAGGCTTTGGGTAACAAGCTGGCAACTAATGGGAGCACTTTCTATCTAAGTTTCTTTCTACACCCTCTCTGAATCTATCATATGACTTAGGAGAGCACTTTTAAAAGAGTGAGAAAGGGGACCAGATGAGTATCACTTGCAGCCACCCTGTCCTGCAGCAGACCCATACAGTCCTCAGAACAAACTTGGCCTGTGAGCCCAATAACTGTCCAGAAAAGCAAAAAATAAATATTGTTTGCTTCAGCAGGCAGCAAGAAATAAAGTATCGTAAAATAGTTTTCCCCCTAGCAAACAGAGAAATAGAAAAAGGATGGAGGTGGAGCTTCTGGCCTACTGGATATCTGCTTCCAGGACATGGCAGAAATGGAAAGGTGATGAAAGTGTTCATGCAGGTATGTGATCTTTGGGCAATAGCTCCTTCTCCTTACAGACAGTAGCAGCTTGAGACACAGAAGAGCTTTCAGGATGCCAATATCTCAAATCTGGGGCAGCAAAATTTCTTTTCAAATCAGTCATAATCACGTACCCAAGGTCTCTTCTCTTCTTGGCTCTTGCTATGCATCTATCAAATTTTTTTTTCATAGCTCATCAGCTTCTTTGAGTCTCAGATGCATTGCAGCAGCAGTAGCCACTGGGGGCAGCAGGATGCCCATGCCCTGTGCCACCTGAAATACCTGCAGGGGAAGAGAGCGGCTGCAATCAGGAGGGGAAACCTTTAGTTACTGGAATTTCTTACGGAGCTCCACGCTCAGAACACTGGATGGGAAAACATTAAAAAATGAAAAACTACTGTGAATTATCACTAGAGCCAACACATGGGAGCACAGAGTGATTTCTTTCTGATCAGATGGCAGAAAAAAAAAGAAAAAAAAAGAAAAAAAAATTCATCAGTAAGAATGATACCAGCATCTTAGTTTCACATGGAGTTTATACATCTGATGGTTTGCTTGATGCTTTGCTTGTGTACAGCAGGCATTCTCTCCTAGCACTAGCACAGTTACAGGAAAAAAAAAAATCTGCCAAAAATCCCTTTGCTATTACTTGAATGTTAACGTAGTAGTAGTATTGTACAGCCTCTGAGGCCAAGGGGGTGAAGACATCAGTGTAGAGGCATCAGAGTTGGTGGTTGCATTAAACAAAGTTGGACATGTTCATATAAAAACAACCATTGGGATGTTTTCATGCCACATATGTTTGCATAAATCTCTCTATATATTTATAACCCACCTCTTCTCATAAAGATACAAAGCTGTCTCTCTGGTGATTTACATTGTGTATCTGTAATCTGCTGCAAGGTCAAAGCAACTGAGCTGAGGTCTGTGGAGCTACTCCAGATTTACACTAGTCTAATAAAGATCAAAATCTGGCCCTGAATATTACCCTTCCTATTCACAAGCATATTTTTGTGTTTCTGTTATCTTCTGCCTTCTTACATTCCTGAAGAGTTTTCCTGCTAATATACTTGGACTACAAGCTTTTCTCTAATCATCTAATCTTGGCCCTTTTTTAAGAGAAGGGAAAGCTGACAGCTGGGTTAAATTACAAAAATGACAGTATTATATGACTAGCAGTATCAGTATCTAAAAACCAATCTGATTATCAGCCACTGCTGATCATCCAATTATATTGATGAAATCCTACAAAAGTTCCACTTCATTCAAATATTTTACTGTGAAACTAAAAAGGTAAATTATTCAGAGGACTGGAGGAAACCAGTTCTACCTGCAAACTGCACTTCCAACAGTAGCATCGATCTGTGTGTGTGAGACGAACATGGCATTGTCCTTCAAAAAACTGATAAAAAACCAAAATCTTAATGGTCAGTTCTTTATGCATAAAAAAATACATCATAGTTGGGTTCTTTGGTTTGGGGTTTTTTTGGTGCTTTGTGGGTTTTTTCTTTTTATTAAAGGTGATGCAGACATCAGCTCGTTGATTCTTCAAGTACCCTCTTAGGAAACATGATTTGGAAACTTTCTGCAATATTTTTTCCTTGAAATCTGAAAGATATCAATCACACAAACACGGTCCATAAAGGAGAAAAGGAATCAAAATCAAGATTTTAGATCGGCTCATTAGTAAACATAACTCTCTCTGTTATAGATGATATCCAAGCAATAGAAGTGACATGCCCAAGGCCCACAGAAAATTGGTTTCAGTGGCAGGTTGCGATTGCAAGAGTTCCCAGAGCCTGTGCATTCATCCATTCACTCACCCATTGCACCATTTAATTCAATCTGAAAAAAAACCTATTTATACTCTAAATGTTATTGGAAGCTTATAACAGACCTGATTTTTATAGTCCTTGGAAAGGTTTTAACGAAAAAAATTGACAAATTAACTGCCATACATTATTTAAGAATATTCTGTTCTGTCTCAGCACAGGATGATCCTTTCATTTCGCTTTTGCTTTCTGCCAATCTGTACATATGTAAGTTAAATAATTGTGAAAAAGCTAGTTCCAGCCATATAGCCCTTTTCACCACCAATATCTTAGCCGTAGCTTAACCTATGTCATTTTCTTCAATGAGAGTGTTTACGCTTCCAGACACCTACTGTGAATGCCAGCTGGCTTTAGATATAAAAATTACCGAAGAAGAAGGAATATAAAAGTTGCAAAAGCTTTTTTAAAGAAACCTCCCCCCACCTGAATCCTGGTGAAAGATGTTTCGTAAATACTGAATGAGCTTTTTAAATACCTGACCTCAGGGATTCAGTACACAAAAAGGAGGAGGGGGGGGAAGCAAGTCGATTAATATATCTTGATATAGTTCCACAGCCAAAGTGGCTAGATCCTTACAGGTTACTGTTCTCAGAGACACAATGAAATAAAAGTGTTATCTCTCTTTTAGCTGTAATCTCTGATTAGAACGTTTAATCAATTAGCATTGCTGTTGTCAAAACTTGCTCCCAACAAAGGATGAGAAAACCTGCCGGAGGGGGATCCCAACGGCTGGCCAATTCCAAACCATGCAATAAGGTGGGAGACTCGTCCCTGCAAGAAACGTCATGTTTTACTACAGTGCAACACTGACTTTTGTGTCGTGAGATGAGAACACTTATCTTGCATTATTCATCTCAGAAGCACTAGCAGAATGTCAAACAACCCCAAAAAGAAGAAAAGCTTAGTGCCAAGAATTGGAAGTGTCAGATTACACTAAAGAGGGTGTCTTTTTCTTTTCCACTTTCAGAAAGCAGGGGACTTATGATCTTTGGGAAGTGGGCTGCTGCTGCTGTTTAAAAAAAGAAACACAACGTGTTTGGAAGCCAGCTGTGAAAAACTGGCTGCATGTTTTCCTCGCTCTATGAGTCACCTGGGGTTTAGTCTCTCAGAGCTGGTCATTATTGGAATTCCAGCAAAAATGACAAGAATTCTTTTTTTTTTTCAGTGAGGTTTATTATCTCTCTCATTAACCCGACCTTTGTGTTATAGAGTTCTCTGAGGTCTTGGACAAGAACAGGATCTCATTGTGCTAAGTACTGTACAAACATATAATGGCTAAAATAAACAGGCAGGAGATCAGGAGACAAAGAGTAGAAGGAAGAAAATACAATTGTTCCCATTTCATACATGGCAACCCCAGGCCCAGAGAGGTCATAGGACTTACTTAAAGCAAGACACAATGTCCAGGGCTTAAAAATTCACCCATGTTTCCTGTGGGAGAGTATGCAGCATTAACTACAAAATTACCTTTCCTTTCCACCTACCTATCTGCTTATGAATGCACGGCCTGTCGTGCAATCCTTGATTGTTTCCTGAAACGCAGCAGGATTTCTTGTTTGTGTCTGGCCCTCCATCAAAACCCTCCTCAGAGACTTCTGCTTTGCAGCTCATGAGCCATCTGCAGAGCTTGTCCATCCTCTGCACTGTGCTGCTGTAGTAAATACCCTGGCTCCACCACCTGTACCATTGATTTATCTGAACCATGGCCATAGCTTCGATGTGGTGTAATCTTGGTACCTGGCCAGATGGGTGTATTAACTACGAATATTTCTTCATGAGAAATTCAAATGTAGGTCATGGTAAACAAATCTATTTGAATGGAGATCGTTTATTTGGGGGCAGAAAGGCATTTGGTGGGTTTTCAGAAGACTTTATATAAGACTTCTCCGTAACGGGTAGCTATAGAAAGTAACTCGCCATTTTGGGACAAGGGAGAAAGTATCTTCTTGCCTTAAAACTGCCAAGTAGCAGTTGGTACACTGTAACCCCCAGAGCAAAGGAAAGACAAACCCGGGGATTGTTCTCATGTCAGAGCTGCAGAGCAGCAAGATTTAATGTGTTGTTTTTTTTAATGAGTTGCAGAAAGAAGTGGACAGTGAGGTGACGAAATTTCCTGAAGTGCTGACAGACTAAGACGTTCTTACTTAGTTATGGGAAATGCTGGAATATGCATGTTAATTGGTATGACTGTTTAGGGTTGTATTCAAGCATGCAGCGTTCTTGGAAAGAACTGTATTGGTTTCATGTGCACCTTTTTGATGTGGTGTTCATTCCTGAGCCACGACTCCATCTCTTAAGGATTGGAAAAGACAAACAACCATGGTGAATGTGGCAAGAGCAATGCTGGAGGGGCCCAGGCTGGATTAAGAGGGGTCTAAAGGGAGCTCTTACACTTGTAGGAGGTCCTAGGAAAAACAAGAGCAGAGCAAGAGCCACCGGGAGCAGGAGCAACACGCTCTGAACCCCTCACCAAAAGGAGATGACAACTGTCATGCTCCTCTTTGCGTATAGCACCCAAATTTCATGCTCAGAATCGCAGCCTAAAAGCTATGGACAGAGATCCACATTATTTCCTACCGTCATATCACTTGACTCAGAAACTCTTACGTACTAAAAAAAATTAATTAAAGACAACACTATATCTGTCAGAAAGACAGGATGAAATACTGGCACTGCACTCTCGGCTATTGCAGTGCAATGGCACAACTGGGACAGCCAGAGCTCCAGCTTGGATGGGGGAAACAGGGCAAGCTTGAGATATTATTAAATGAAAGATCAGCTACACAGTAGCATTCCCCAAACATACTTGAAAAGTGACAGCCACACAAAATTAACCAGAACATGACGGATTAATGCAGGCTGCAGCGAGTACAGTGGGGTCATTCAGCTGCTCAAAACGCTTCACAACAACAGTTTGTGAAATGACTGGCCGGTTCCTGAAAAAAAATTGAAAAGTCTAAAACCATAACCAAAAGGCTATGAGAAATGGTGAAATTCACACCAGAAATATGCACTAGAAAAATGGTTGGCTTGGTTACTACTTATTTACTATTTCGTTTGTCAGGGTTTTTTTATTTTAGGGTATTTCATTCATTCACAGTCCTCCTATTTCAGCTTCTAAATATCCAAATAACCAAAGCAACTCCTTGAATTGAAGATATTTTTGTA